GGCGGTCCCCGCCCTCTGCGCCCAGCGAGACTCGCGTGCCAGTCACCTGGGCCCAGGGGCGCGCCTTTGTCTCTCAGGGGCCGGGGAGGCTAATTAGATTGGGGGGGGGGGGGCGCCGTCCTTCAAGGCGCTGTGACCGCCACTCCGCGTGGCAGCCCCGGGCAGGCCCAGCCCGAGTCACGTCTAATGAAATTGTCGTCTCTGCGGCCCGCGCAGCCACCCCACCTCGCAGCCCGTCGGGCCTTAGTAGGTGCCGGCGGGGGCGCCCTGGAGCCCTGAACCGTCCCGCGGGAACGGGGCCGGGGGACACGCGGGCCCCACGAGAGGAAGCAATTTCCCTGGGCCACCGCGGGACTGGGACTCGAAAGACTGAGACTCTGCACGGGAGAGAAATGGGAGGAGGAAGCCGAGAGGGTGTGAGATCGCCGGCGAGGGGGCCGGAGCGCCGGCGAAAGAGGAGAGCGCGCGCGGGGGGAGGCGAGCGACGCGGGCGGGGGAGCGCGGGGCGGCGGCGGCAAGCGGAGGAGGGGGGCGGCGGGAGGGGCCGGGCGCGGGGAGGCAGGAGGAGCCCGGGGGGAGGGGGCGAGCCGCCGCGGGAGGCCACTGGTCGCTGCGGACCACGCGGGGGCCCCGCTGCCGCCGCGGGGAGGGGGCTCGGGGGCCGGGGGGGCCGGGTACGGCGTCGGGGCGCGGCGCGACCGCATTCTTCGCCTTTTCTTCCTCGGGCTCATTCCGGCCGATCGATACCTGCGCGGGACCTGCCCCCGCCGCTAATATCTTTTTAATGAGTTCGCGGGGCTTAGAGCGAGCGCGATCTGCCCTCCAGGGTGGATTTTCCCCCGGCAGATGTTTCGAGAGGAGGAGGCGCGCGGGGGCCCCCGGGAGGGGAGACAAATCTCTCCCTCCGAGGGGCGAGGGCCGAAGACTTTCTTCTAAAGTTCAAAAGAAAGACGGGCTTTCACTCGGCCCCCAAAAATGTATTTCCCGGCGGACAATGGGCTCCTTTCTGCGCCTCGGAGGGCCCGCGGGGCGGGAGGGGCGGGGACCCGGGCGCTGGGCCCCGCCTGGCCGGCCCGCGCCCCCCTCCACCCGAGTCGGGGCAGCTGAGTGAGGGCGCGGGAGCCGGGAGCCCGGCTTCCCCTCGGCACGCCCGGCTGAAGCGCTCAGTCTGGACCGGGGCGCCCCCGAGCTGAGCCCCGGCGCAGAGGCAGGAACGAAAGTGCTCTGCGGGCCTGGCCGCGGGGCCTGGGGAGCCCCAGGCCGGCCCCCACCCCAAGTCCCGGCGCTCGGGGCTGCTGCCGCCGGGCCCGGAGGGGCGCGCGCCGGTGCCTCGAGAGGAGCTTGCGCCGTGGCCCCCGTTCTCTCCGCGCTCCGCTCTGTGCGGGGCAACAGGTAGAAATCAGCCGGTGTCGGGCGGCCGCGGGACCCTGAGTCCCTCTTCCCCTGCCTGGGCCGGCCACCCCTCCCGGGGCTCCCCGGCGCTGCCCGCCCCCCGCAGTGTCCCTCAGTCCGTGGGTCCGTTGGCCTGCCGCCGACTCCCTCTCTCCACTCCCGTGGGCTCGGGAGAAGGGGCAGCCCGGGCCACGCGGATGACCTCCGAAGAGCCGCGGCCGATTGATTCGTTCCGCCCGGAGCCCGGGCCGCGTGAATGGGGGGCCGGGGCGGCGGCGGCGGCGGCGGCGGCGGGGATAAAGATGTTCTCCCCGCAAGGGGGAGGGGGCGCGGGGCGGGAAGCGGGGCCATTCACTCCTGGCCCGGCCCCTCGGGAAGCCGCGCCGCAGAAAGAGGGCCGGGGCCTATTCAAGCCCTACGAGCCGCCCACAATGGGCCGATATACTGGGGGCCTCTCTATTAACGCCCATGAATATTAAAGAGATCGCGGAACGGCGGCTCGCAGGCGCGACGAGGGCGGCGCCTGCGAGCTCGGGCCGGGCCGGGGCAGGGCAGGGTAGGGGGCTGCGGCGCGGACACACTCCTCGCCTGGGCCCCGCGGAAACCGACACGGGTCAGCCGCGCAGAAACTCCGGGACGTGCAGTATCTTCCTTCGCAATCTCCGCGCACGGGCCTTGCTCCCCATTTCCAATGGGCCCTGAGACTGGGGCGCTCCCTACAGGTCCCCTTCCCTGGGGCGCGGTCCAGGTGGGTCTGAGGCTAGACCAGAAGCACAAAATTTGAGCGCTCAGCGGAGACGCGCCGGGCCGGCGGGCGCAGGAGCTAGAAGGCTGTGCCGAGTTCCGCTTCCCTCCGGCGCCCCGCACCGCTGCCTGGGTGTTCGCGTCCGGGGGGAAAGGAATAGGGCTCCCTGGCCGCGGCCGGAACCCTCGGTCCTTTCACATTCTGACCCCGAGCTGGGGCCCGGGTCCCAAATGCTGTGCCCGTGGTTGGAGGTACGCACAGACCTGAGGGCTTTTCTCTGGGGTGTGGCCCGGGAATTGGCAAAATCCTCCGGGCTTTCGGAGGAAAGTGACCTGACCCAGAATGGGACAAGGTGGGAAGAAACTTCAGTTCACAAAGTCCAACCTAAACCGTTGTGCAGACAGGGACACTGAGGCCCAGAGAGAAGGGCGGCCCCAAGGACGCACAGCAGTCCTCCTCCTCCTCCTCCTTTGATCTCCCCGAGACGCTGAGGTTGGCTGCCAAGCTTGAGAACTGAGCTCGAAGCTCTGGGCGGTGCTCCCCGAGGGAGTCTCCTCTGTCTTGGCACATTTTCCCCTCCACCAAGTCTTTGTAGAAGCCAAGGTCCAGGCGTGGGTGAGGCACCCAGGCTCGGATTCTGGGGGGCCCCCTCCGACGGAACCCTGGGCTCAAGCCTGAGCCAGTGGTGACTCACCGGTGGTATCTGGAAGGGATTTGAGGTTCCAGGACCCTAACCCTCGAGCTTCGCTGGCTCCTCTGCAGCGCTGCCCTCTGCTGGCGCCAGGCCCGACGGTCGTGCCTTGTGCCCGGTGCAGCCTCCTCTGGGCATCAGCCTCCAAGCTCATCCGAGCTCTGTGTCTGAAGGCCGGCGATTGCCGCCTTCCTTACTCTATCCCTGGAGGCAGACTCCAGGATGGCAGAGACTGCTGGCCGGGCACTGGGTGCGGGACGCTGGGGGTTCATGGTGGCCAGGTGTGAGGATGGCTTAGCAAAATCCAAGCCCCCCCCCCCCCGCCACCCAGTGGAAGGAGCTTTTTGCCAAGGGGCGTGAGGACAGTGACTCCTTATGGGAAGGCCAGACCCCTGACCATCTGCCCAAGGCCCCGTGCTGCGGAGAAAGCCCGGAGAGTCTGTGAGCCCAACCCATGCCCCAAGGGTCCAGAAAACTGGGCTCCGCTAGCAGAATCTGAAATTGCAGGGGGGAAGGGAGGTGTCCCCATGATGCCCCTCCAGTGTCTAGGGCTGGAGTCGGGGGCTTGAGGCTAACCCAAGAAGTCGGCAAAGGCCGCAGGAAGCTGTGGCCTTCCATTCTAGGCTCCGGGCTCAGCAGCTCCTTGTCACGGGAAAGAGACCGAGAGACACCGTTCTGGCGCCCAGGGTGCCTTGGAACCTCTGCACAGAAAGCATCCTGGTGGAACGGGGGAGGGGGCAGTTGGGAGGAAGGGAGAGAAGTGGGAGGCCCGAAGAGAAAGAACGAGAACTAGGAGGCAAGAAAGAAGGCGTGCGGAACGCAGGGGTCTCCCCTAGGTCGCAGCTGAACGAAGGAGCTGGGAGGCCGGAACCTCAAGCCGCGCGGGCACCGCAGGCCTGGGGCCGCCTGCGGTTTCGGAGATCGTTCGCTTTGGCGCACGGCTGCTCCCACTCAGAACTGTCCGGGGACCCCTTTCCATCCTCCGTATCCATCAGAAAAACCTATTCTAGGCAACCCACGGCCAGTGCGGATTTCGGTCCCTAGCCCCCCGAGAGTCGGGAGCCGGTCGCCCACGACGCCGTCCCGGGCAGGGCCCAGCCCCAACGTTCGCCGCAGCCCTTTCCGCCCCGGGAAGAGTTTCACACTCGGCGGCGAGCAGCGAGCGGGCCGGTTGAGCGGCCCGTTTGAAGCGAAGCGCACGGCTCTAGCAAGCGCCGTCTGCAGCACGAGAGGAGCGCGGTGTGCGCTCTGGGGCTCGGAGCTCCGGAGAGCCCGGGCCGGGCCGGGAGGGCCAGGGAGCGGAGGGGAGGTGAACGCCGGGCCCCGCCGGGCGGGGATGAGGAGCGCAGATCCGGCCTGGGGCAGTGGGTGAGCGCCGGGCCGGCGGGGCCCGAGGCCAGGTGTCCCCTCCTACCCAGTCTGGTCCCTGGAGTCCGAGCGAGCCTCGCCGCGCCCCCTCCCCTGCTCCGTCCCCTCCTCTCCTCGCCGCGGGCTGAGCCTCCCTCCCAGCCCGGCGCTTCCCACGGGGAGAGGAGGAGGAAGGGCGGGGGGGGGGGGTTGGAGAGGAAGGGCCAGGGAGAGGCGGGAGGAGCGAAGAGGGACAATTCGGAGCGGCCCGCGCGCCCCCGCCCCTTGAGCTCTCGCGACGAGGGCTCCTCGAGCCCGGCCGGGTACAACAAGTCTGTCCGACGTCAGGGGGTCATTAATAACCAATTAGGAGGGTCACTGCGGCTCCTATAAAGGCGCTGAGATTTTGCCAAGGGGAAGACCGTCCGGGCCGGTGTGCGAGAGCCGAGCGCGCGTCCGAGAGCCCCTCGCCGCCGTGTCTCTGCAGCCACCCGCCTCCCACCCGCCCCGCACCCCCCGCACCCGCCTCCGCCTCCACCCCCGTCTCTCCAGCCCTCCGCGCCGCCTCTGCCACCTCTGCTGATTTCCCCATCTCTCTCCCGCTCCGCCTCGCTCCCCCTCGTTCACTTTCCTTCCAGCCCGCCTCGCCTCCCGCTCCCTCCTGTGTCCTCCCCCTCCTCCTCCTCCTCCTCGTCCTCCCCCTGCTCCTCTTCCTTCTCCTCCGGCACAACCCTCTTCTCTCGGGCTTCCGCTCTCCTCTCGCCCGCCACATCCCCGCGTCGGCCCGGCCGTCCGTCCCCGGCGCCGGCGAGCCCCGGACCGCCCATGATGGGCTCCGTGCTCCCGGCTGAGGCCCTGGTGCTCAAGACCGGGCTGAAGGCGCCGGGGCTGGCGCTGGCCGAGGTCATCACCTCCGACATCCTGCACAGCTTCCTCTACGGCCGCTGGCGCAACGTGCTGGGCGAGCAGCTCTTCGAGGACAAGAGCCACCACGCCAGCCCCAAGACAGCCTTCACCGCCGAGGTCCTGGCGCAGTCCTTCTCCGGCGGTGAGTCGCGCCGTCGAGGCCGGTCGCACCCCCTCCTCCCGGCGCCGCCGGGTTCCCCGCCGGCGACGCCCAGGGCGCGCGGCAGGGACACAGGGCGGCGCGGCTGCTCGGTGGGCCTCAGTTTCCCGGGAGCCGAACCGCGGCGCGAGCAGCCAAAGGCCGGGCGGGGCGGGAAGCAGCTCGGCGCCCCGCGCGGCTCGGAGAAGGGATCGCCGCGTCCAGGCTGCCCCGGCCCTGCGGCCCCCCGCGGCCCCCCGCCCGCCCCTCACCCCTTTGAGCCGGCGGGTTCCCGGCATCTAAAGCCTTACTAGGCGTGTAATAGCAGTTGACTCAAAAAGAAGGGGTTTAAAATTCATTTAGTTAACTTGGGCTTGACCCGCGAAAGTTCCCACTTCAACCGAGAACTTTAAAAGGCAGGGGGGCTGGGGAGGGGGCGGAGGGCGGGCGGGCGGGCCGGCAGAGAAAGCCGCTGAGGGAGCGAGGGAGAGAGAGAGAGAGAGAGCCAGAAAAGTTTCTTTTCTTTAAGATGTCTCAAGTTCTTATTCCTCATTCATCAACGTGCAAACAATATCTTTCCCCGGCGCTGGCATCTCTGCGCGTCGCCCTCTCTTCCCCCGTGACGATTTCTGTTCCTCTCTTAATTTACCGTGCAGACTAATCCCACTTCCATTCACGCTATGTCAACCATCTAATCCCCCCTTTTTGTAAGGGGAATTCCTCGGCCCCTTTTAAACAAGTCCCCTCCGCATTGAGCTACAATTTACTGCTACAGCATTCTTCCAGGGCTAATGAATTTAGAATTAGCAATTTCTTTCGAATGGAACCGAATGAATGCTATCACTTTAACAGCGTGACAAATTGCCGGCCGCGCCGCAATGGACACCGTTTAACCCCCCCGCTTTCAGCCGGCCCGCTCGCCGGCTATTTTCCCAGGTAGCTTAGAGGGGAACCTTGTAAGACACGGAGGCCGCCCCTGTGCGCCTCGCCGCCCCCACTCCGGCTGCCGGGCCGGACAGGGGGACCCCCGGGGGGCCGGGGGCCGCCCGTTCTTTCCCGCCCAGAGAGGCGACTTCAGAGCTCGCCCAGGTTCCCGGCGCCGCCCTTTCTGGCACCCCGGATCCTGGGCGCCGAGGGGGACCGAGGCGGGCCCGGGGTCACACAGAGAGCGCCGGAGGCTGCCCGCCGCAGCCCGCGTTCCTTTTGAGCTTCGGCCGCCCCCCAACCCCCGCCGCGCCGCAGCCTGAGGTCTCTTCCCAGCGCCGTAGCCAGCCGGCGCCCAGGCGCAGCGCCTCCCGCACCCCGGAAAAGAGTCAGAGCTCCTGGCCGCAACCGGGATCCTTCGACAGCGCCCTGTGTTCGGTGCGGGGAGGCGCAGTGAGCGCCGAGCGTCCCGCGGAAGGAAGGTCTCAGCTTGGCTATCACCTCCTCCTGGGAGCTGGCCTCAGTTTACGCATTTGTAAAACCGCGCGCTGCGGTGGGCACAGTCGTTCTTAAACTCTTCCAGGGTGGGGGGGCAGGGACGTTGTGGATGCTTTGAGAATTAGTGGAGAGACCAAATAAATAAAAATAATAAAAGCCCCTAGAAATGAGCCCCAAAGCACCTCTTGCTTCCGAGGGCACAGAGGATCCCCAGGTTGCAAACGGAGGAGATTCCTGCACTGAGCACCCCGCCAACCCCCCCCCCCCCCCCCCCCCCCCGCCTCCCCCACTCCGCAGCCCGCACACACACACCCTAGTGACTTCCCCGGAGTCACTCCGGGGCGGGCCTGAGGTTGGTCTGGCCGGACAGGACTGGCCTGGGTCTCTGGCGGGAAGGGCGGGCCATTCCCTGCCTCAGGCTCTGACCCAGTCCCCCTGCCCTGGCGGCGGTCACAGAAGTGCAGAAACTGTCCAGCCTGGTGCTGCCTGCGGAGGTGATCATCGCGCAGAGCTCCATCCCGGGCGAGGGCCTCGGCATCTTCTCCAAGACGTGGATCAAGGCGGGCACCGAGATGGGTCCCTTCACTGGCCGCGTCATCGCCCCGGAGCACGTGGACATCTGCAAGAACAACAACCTCATGTGGGAGGTAGGTGAGGGCCGGGGGAGAGGGGTGCCGGCGGGAGGGCCCCAGGCAGCCGCCACTCCGTCCCTGTCGCTCCTGCTGGGAGCTCGGGGGCGCTTGGGCCCCCCAGCTCCCTGACGTGGGATCCGGGATCCTACCGCCCTATGCCTGGCAATGCCTCCCCAAACCAGGCTGCTAAGGCCATTGTTCAGAAAATCTGACCCTCTTTCTTCCGGCCAACCCTAGGGACTGTTGTTGGCCCTACTTCAGAGGAGGGCACTTAGGCCTCCGGAAGCCATGTAGCTTGCCCAGGGTTATGCCCAAAGCGCTGAAGCCAACCCTGGGGACAACCTCCCAGCTACCTGCATTCTTCTCCTTGGGAGGAAGTTGCAAGGAAAGCCCTTTTGAACCACCCTGGCCTGGGGGTAAGGGTGGCCAGTGTGGGGAATGGAAGGGGCCGGTGCTTCCTAGGAATGAGCTTCTCAACCCAGGCAGAACAGTGACAACTGGAAATGATCGGGGATGAATTGGCGTTGAGATAACTTTCTGAGTCAGCGGCCCGCATTCCACCAGATGATCTCATCAGCCCTGTGAATTATTATTCCCATTCTACAGAAGGAAACTGAAGCTCAGAGAGGCTTCCACGCCAGGCCTTCTGACCCTGCTCTCCTCCGACAGTGCCAGATGCCAGGGACGGCCACCCTTAGGACACCCTTAGGACAAAGCCACTCCCAAAGCTCTTCCTCCCCTGGGGCTCTTACCTTGCCGAGGCCAGGCTGGTGCACCCTTTCCCTAATCTCATTTCCCTTCCCCCCATGGGTACCCACCACAGCCCCCACCTGACAGTCCCTGGAGGAGCCCAATGTGACAAATCTTGGCTCTGGTCACAGGCACAGGAGGAAGGGAACAGGGGGATGGTCCAGATGCTTCTCCTGACCTCACCTCCTCCCTCCCTGGAGGCCTGGGCCAGTAGTTATCTTCTCCATTTGTTGCTAGGTTAGGAAGTTGGGGCCCAATCTGATCTCTGAGTACTCTTGATAGCTCCCACAAGGGGGCTTGGGCCAGGCCAGGGTGCCACAGTGAGCCAGCCTTCCCTCTCCAGGCTCCTGTGTCCCCCTCTGAGGTCCTGGTCCGTGCTCTCTGCTGCTTTGGGGAGCATCTCTGCATCCCCAGGAAGTTAGCTGGCTGTTACTTTGTCGAGTCAGTGATCCCTTGGAGACCCTTTTCTTCCAGAGTTGGGGAATACGTGGCCGCCGGAGCCTGTGGGGCCCTGGAGACTGACTCCCTGTCGGTCCCTTCTAGCTGCCTGGCCTCAGGCAAGTCACTGCACTGCTCCGAGCACCCCTTTTCTCAGCTGGAAAACTGAGATGAGTACAGCTGCTTGCCCTTCCTGGGGCTGTCGTGAGGATGGAGAGAGTGTAGGAGGACACACCGGCAGTGGCCCAGCCCAGTCACAGGTGGCACCTGCAGCACAGCCTGCCTCACTCAGCCCCTCGTTTACCTGCATGCAGGTGTTCAATGAGGACGGCACAGTGCGCTACTTCGTCGATGCCAGCCAGGAGGACCACCGAAGCTGGATGACCTACATCAAGTGCGCACGTAATGAGCAGGAGCAGAACCTGGAGGTCGTCCAGATCGGCACCAGCATCTTCTACAAGGCCATCGAGGTGAGTGCCTGTTCTGTTCCGTACGAAGCCAGGGGGCAGCCAGGAGAAGGGGCGCAGGCAGCAGTGTCCGGGGACTGGGGGTGGGGGGGATGGAGGTGCATTGATGCCGGCCACCATGGCCCTGCCCAGGCCCTAGGGCTGGGGCCCAGGCATCATGGTCTCTGGGAGCATGAACTTCGTGGCAGGTTTTCTGGTCTGTAGATCAGAAAGGACAGAACTTTTGACTTCAGGCCACTGGGGATGTCACGAGCACCTCAACCGTGAGGCTCCCGGATAGCTGCTTAGGGTGTCCCGGGGTTCAGAAACCAAGAGATACAGAGAGCAAGACGCAGGGGGAAGCATTTGAATGCAAGAGAGGGCATTGTGTCTGCAGCATTTTCGCTGTGTGTTGTTCCTTGTCCTGCATGCGTGGGACGCTGATGTGGGGATCATGACTCTAAGTCTTGGCTCTGACACATTGATCACTCGCTGTGTAAGGCTTCTCTCCTAGACTCTGTGGGTGCGTTATCCTTTATAATCCTTGTGCATTTAATCCACGAGGGAGGGTTCTGCGATTATCCAGTTTGCAGACAAGGAAGCTGGGGCTCACTTGGTGGCAGAGGGACTCGGGAGCTACCAGGCGTTGGGGGGAATGTTCGCACTAATGCCTGTGCTGGGTCGAACTGCTTAGAAGCAAGGGAAAGGGAAAGATAGCAGCAGATAAATATCACATCCCATGGTTGGGAGTAGCTAAGCCCCGCCCAGGTCATGGGAAGGTTCAGGAGGATGGAAAAAGGAGGTGTTCCCGATAGGGAAACCTTGGACAGAGGCAGAAAAGCTCATGGTCTACAGAGAGGGGCTGAGGGCACAAAGCAAGCCAAGTGGTGGTAGCCATGGAGGGCCATGCTGTCGGGACCTTCTGGACAGTGTCTCTTGGCAGGAAATATGCTCAGCATCTGTCCCAGGAGTGAGACAAGCTCCCTCCTTCCCCATGGCAGATTGGTGGCCAGTGCTGTGTGGGGGTGGTGGGGATATCCCCCCCACACACACTTGTCTGGACCTCCTGCTTCCACTCCCCTAGTGGAGAGAGGCAGTGTCCTCCCTCGGGGGTGGGGCTGGGTTTGGCCGAGTTTTGGAGAGGTCCAAAGGAGGTCTCCCAGGGCGGGAGAATGACTTCCCTATAGTCCATTTTATCCCTGGGACTCAGAGCCTCAAATCTTTCTAAGGCCCTAGGGGCACTGGGGCCTAGCAGCTTCTGAAACTGGGGTCCAGTTGTCCCTCAATAACCAGGCTCCAGGAAATCTCCCAGGGATGACAGCAGAATGGTCTTTGCCTGGGTGTTGTTGTGGCCACGGAGTGGGTCCCAGCAGAGGGGTAGACTCTGGGAGGGCCAGGAAGTGGAGGGTAAAGAAAGGTGCCCAAGTTCTGGGCTGGTATTCAAGTGAGATGGAACAGCATGGGGCTGTGTGAAGGTAGGGCCAAAGGTGGCCCAGGCACCTAGGACAAAGGTCTAGGACAAAGGTGGCTCCTGTGACCGTCTCGCTGGGCCACCACCCTGTGGGAATAAGGACTCCCCGCCAGACATCCCAGAATCGGCCTAAGGTGTGGCTGAACCTCACTTCTAGCAGAGCGCACGCTCCAGGGTCTTCTCCCCTCCTACCCTCCCAGCCTCACACACACATCCTCACATTCGTGCGCTGCTTCCTGGCCATCCCAATACAGATGAGCTAGGAGACACACAGTCTTTCCATTCCTTCCCTCTAACATGAATGCACACACATGTACATAAACACAGATGTACACGCATGCACAAGAGAGACAGTGGGAGTGCTTGTATGATTCGGGCCAAAGAACTCCCGCTGGGGCTGACTCGGGGGCCTCAGATCATCTCCCTGTGCAGATCACATTGGCTAAAGGCTCAACGGAGTCAGGAAATATTAATAGAAATTTCTACAGAAATTCAGTCAGAGGACAGAGGGGCTGAAGAGGATCTCTAGGGAGGAATCTGAATTTAGAAGAGTAAAAAAAAAAGTCATCTACACTTTATCAGGATTTAAGTTGATAAAAGAGGATCAGGAAAAAGAAACCGATTCATATAGGATACTGTGAGCAAGATGCCATGGATTTGCAGTTAATGCTTGCCCAGAGGTAGCAAGCCTATGAAGAAGGGGCCTCTTGAATGAGGGACAAGGAAACAGAAAATATCACTTTATGGTCATTTTACTTTTCATCAGCAAAGCTGGACACTTTTCTCGTAGTGGCAGTTTTTCTCAGATCATTTTGTGGCCATGACAGATTCCACTTACTGGAATCTGTCATGTGTGTCTGGGCCAGTGGTCACACCCACCATGCGCTGGGCAGAGGCCAGGGCTCACTGGCCCTTCTAGGCTGCACCAGAAGAAATTGCTTCTCCCCCAGGCCACTCCCTGAAATCTCTGGAATACACGGGCTGTTTGTTCTGTGCGCGCGTGCGAGTTAGCCAAGGAGACGGGCCTTTGCGATGATCTGTTTTCTTAGTCTTTCTGTCACTTAGAACTGCCATTTATATTCCATATGAGTAACCCAGTACTCACCCCAAAAATGGGAAGGCCCGTCTTTATTCGATAAGCAGAATGCACTGTTGCTACTCTCAGATTTTCCACAAATACAAAATAATAGCCCTCCAAATGGAGATGGGGTTCAAGGCCAGCCAGTCAGAGGAGAACCCCAGGCGGGATGGCATCTGGCTGGATCTACGGCAAGCTATTTCTGGGGCATTCTCCCCATCGATTCAACCACAGAAGAATTTACTAGGTGCCTAAAATAGCATTTCTTTTTTTTTTTTTTTAAGATTTTATTTATTTATTTGAGACAGAATGAGAAAGAGAGAGCACATGAGAGGGGGGAGGGTCAGAGGCAGAAGCAGGCTCCCTGCCGAGCAGGGAGCCCGATGCGGGACTCGATCCAGGGACTCCAGGATCATGACCTGAGCCGAAGGCAGTCGCTTAACCAACTGAGACACCCAGGCGCCCTAAAATAGCATTTCTAGAAAGCGCCCAGCACATAGCAAGTGACCATTCAGTGTTGAATGAATAAGTCTTTCTGCAGGTGATGGGGACTGGGTCGAAAGGGGAACACGCGGACCCCTGTTCTCCCAGAAAAACAAAACCAGCTACCCCAGGAAGCAAGACCTTCGATGCCAAAACTCAGCGCAAGGAAAGGATTTAGTAATAAGTTATGAAAGCTTTGGACTCTGGAGCTGGGAAGAAAATTCCCAGTCTTTCCCCTCCCTGTGTCTTGGCAGATTACTGTGCCCTGAAGTGTGGGCCTTTCCTTCCCGCTACTTTCCTTCTCCTTTCAAGCACTCGAACGTTAGTTATACGGCAGAGTCCCATGTCTGCTTTTCCTGGCACCGTTTTCCTTTTGACGTTGCTCAGGGGTGGATGCAGTTGGGGCACCTTATTTTTTTTTTTTTTAAAGATTTTATTTATTTGACAGAGAGAGCACAAGCAGAGGGAGAGAGAGGGAGAAGCAGGTTTCCTGCTGAGCAAGGAGCCCGATGCGGGACTCGATCCCAGGACCCTGGGATCAAGACCTGAGCTGAAGGCAGATGCTTAACCGACTGAGCCACCCAGGCGTCCCCACCTTGATTATTAATACTAAGCATCATTAATAATGCTACCATCTGTGAAGCATTTATCATCTGTGGGCACGTGCTGAGGGTCTTAGCAAATTTTTAAGAATCGAGTCCTCTCCGCTCTGTGAGATACTATCACTATCCCCGTTTTAATGATGGCAAAACTGAGGTTCAAGGAGATCATAGGAAGTTGGTGAGCTGTGATTTGAATCCAGGCCTGTCTGACCCCAGAGCAGAGCCCTTGGTCACCACGCCGTGGGGCCTCCCCGGCCAATATGTATTTGCTGGAACTCTATTAATTGGTCTGTCAGGACATCTGTGGTACAATGGAAATTGATATTCGTCCAGATGACATGGAGATCCTTCTGGACTAAGGTTTCTGCACTGCCCGGGGTGGGGAGGGGGGCAAAGGGAGGTGTCAGAGCCTCCCGGGAGTGTATTCAATAGTGTGACATACATTTATATAAAGAAAACAAACCAAAACCGGATCGGTTTCCATTTATAATAAAAATTCAGAGAGGGGGCAGGACAGAATGTCTGGGCTGGTAGGGATGGTTCCGAAGCACGAGCTGAGAGACTATGTAATTTGTCAAGGGAAGACTCGGGCCCTGATATTCTCCCAGAATCTCAGGGATGTGGATTTTATGGTACCGGGATCGGTTTCTTGGGGGAATTATTTGGTCTATTGTGTGTCCCGAATCAGTCCCCGCTGCCTAGAAAAGTGAACGAAGGACACCTTTGTGATCCTGGTTCTGCCGGCCCCAACGGAGAGTCCTGGCAGGGTCTTGCCAGAGTTGGCTGTAAAGAAACGTCAGTATTGAGGGACCGGGAAGCCTGGGAGGGGGACGGTGGTTGTTCTTTGCTCTTAGGCAGTCAGCTGCCGGGACCCTGGGAGCCTGTGGACAATAGTGCCAGGATCTCCGGGAAGAGGTTGCTGATCCTGAGGGTCTCCTGGTCTTGATCTCTGGGGTTATTGCATGAGGGGTACCAGCGAGCAAGCAGGGACCGGGCGTCCAGGTCAGGGGCTGCCGCTGGCTTCCCAGAGCTCTGAAGAGCCAACAGACTCCACTTCCAGCCTTCTCCAGTGCTGGTGGCTTCTCGATATCTGTGCCATTTTCAATTCCAGTAGATTCTTCTTAATAGATTTTTTTTTTTAAGTGGAGCTAATGCGGGGCTTGAACTCATCACCCTGAGATCAAGACCCGAGCCGAAATCTAGAGACAGATGCTTAACCAACTGAGCCAACCAGGTGCCCCTAGATTTTCTTTCTTTAATACAGAGATAGTATAAAAGTAATATGTGCTCATTATTTTTTAAAAAATCAGATATCTCATGTAGAAAAATAGAAGCCACTCTGCCCGTCATGCTGCTCCCCGCGAACCTTAAATCAGCATTTTTTAATAGTCTCAAAATGACAAACCCTTCTGGGGAAAGAAGCACAGAAAACTGGCCACAGTGGCTGAGCATCCAGGGTGGGGAGAGAGTCACTTTTCATGTCCTACCCCCTTTATGTGTTTACACGTGTTTGTCAATGTGTCTGCTTTGTTGTTTTAATTTCTGAAATTAACTAGTAAGATTAATTTTAGTACATGTAAAAATTATGTTAGTAAATAAATGATGTACTCTATGTTAAAAGTCAATGTCGAAGCTCTTATTTAGAAAATCATGTTCCAAACAACCATTTTGAACAATATTCAGAATTTGTGCAAGCCCAGAGTTCTTAGCTTCTCCTCATTCATCACCACTGTTGTTGTTGTATTTATTTTATATATATTTTTTAATTTTTAAAAAGATTTTTTTTTTTAAAGATTTTATTTATTTGACAGAGAGAGACACAGCGAGAGAGGGAACACAAGCAGGGGGAGTGGGAGAGGGAGAAGCAGGCTTCCCGCTGAGCAGGGAGCCCGATGCGGGGCTCGATCCCAGGACCCTGGGATCATGACCTGAGCCGAAGGCAGACACTTAACGACTGAGCCACCCAGGCGCCCCTAAAAAGATTTTATTTATTTATTTGAGAGAGAGAGAGAGAGAGCATGAGTCCGGGTGGGAAGGTGGGGAGGACAGAGGGAGAGAGAGAAGCAGACTCCCCGCTGAGCAGAGAGCCCCACACAGGGCTTGATCCCAGGACCCCGAGATCGCGACCTGAGCCAAAGTCAGTCTGTTAAGCATCTGACTTTGGGTGCCAAAGTGCGTTGGGAAGCCACCCAGGCGCCCCAAATTTACATTTAGTAACAATTGTTATTGTCAATTACAACGAGAAGGCTGGTGTTGATTTGGATATTTGATTCCTCCGCTGAGAGTCTGGAGGTGGAGATGCAACTCAGGGCGACAGCCGATGCGGGGTTGCTGAGCTTCCCCTCCACATCGGTGCTCTCCCTGGGGGTGCCCCCTGCCCCAGCCAAGCCGGAGGCAGTGGCCCAGAGTGGGGCTCCCGTCCTTGGGGCACTGGGGCCCAGCCCGTGCTATTGTTAGTCATTGAAGGCAAAGCCGCCAGTCACCCTGGGTTTTTTTTTTTTTTTTTATTCTTATGTTAATCTCCATACATTACATCATTAGTTTTAGATGTAGTGTTCCACGATTCATTGTTTGTACATAACACCCAGTGCTCCATGCAGAACGTGCCCTCTTTAATACCCATCACCAGGCTAACCCATCCCCCCACCCCCCTCCACTCTAGAACCTTCAGTTTGTTTTTCAGAGTCCATCGTCTGTCATGGTTCGTCTCCCCCTCTGATTTCCCCCCCTTCATTCTTCCCCTCCCGCTACCTTCTTCTTCTTCTTCTTTTTTTTTCTTAACATATATTGCATTATTTGTTTCAGAGGTACAGATCTGAGATTCAACAGTCTTGCACAATTCACAGCGCTTACCAGAGCACATACCCTCCCCAGTGTCTATCACCCAGTCACCCCTTCCCTCCCACCCCACCCCCACTCCAGCAACCCTCAGTTTGTTTCCTGCGATTAAGAATTCCTCATATCAGTGAGGTCATATGATACATGTCTTTCTCTGTTTGACTTATTTCGCTCAACATAATACCCTCCAGTTCCATCCACGTCGTTGCAAATGGCAAGATCTCATTCCTTTTGATGGCTGCATAATATTCCATTGTATATATATATATACCACATCTTCTTTATCCATTCATCTGTCGATGGACATCTTGGTGGGGGTTTCCACAGTTTGTCACCCTGGGTTTTAACTGTGCCCGTGGCCCCATGCCACACTGTAGGCTCTGTGGGGACCACTGTGGGCCTCGATGCCCCAGAGAGCGCTGCCAGCTTCCTGAGACATTGGTGAGCTCAGGGAAAATCATAACACTCGCTCCTGCATCCAACCTCCCTGCAAAGTTTTCTGCCCACGGCTCGCGGAGGCCTGGCCCCGTGAGGCCTGAGCAGAGAGGCCGTCCCTGTTTTACAGTCTGGGAAACCGAGGCCCAGCGCCAGAAGGCAACTTGCACAAGGTCACAGGCTCAGCAGGTGGGGAGCCCAGGTGGACCCTGACATGGGTGACCTCTGCCAGCACTCTGTCCAGTTCAGACAAGTCTGATGGGGGACTGGCTGCTTTAGAAGAACGCTGATTGTGAAAATTGAAGCCGGGGGTAAGGACAGGGTCAGAGGTGACTTACAATCAGATTCTCAGAGTTGGGGGACCTCAGGGAGGTTCCCCCACCCCCTCACTTGAGGAGACAAGCTTAGAGGGGATAAGTGCTTGCCTCAGGTCACCCAGGCGCCCGGTGGCCGAGGGTCCATCTGCATCCTCACACAGAGAGCATCCTTCGCAATGAGTTGATCTTAAATATTTTCCTTCCGTCCTCCTCCTTCTGTCTTCTCCGTCCCCTTTCCAGCAGGGCCTCCAGCTCTGTCCCGCTGACCCCCGGGACAACGGCCATGACTGTGAATGGCCTCGAGGACTTCTGTGGTGCCAGATTCTAACCTGTCTGCTTTCTTTGAGGCACCACCTGATTTTCCTCGGGTTCCGGGACTGTACTTATTTCTTCCATATTCGAACCCTGTACCTCCGAGCTGGTACCCTCTGCCTGGCTTCCAGTCACTCACTGACCCTGAGGGCTTGACGTGATGCCCCACGGGCCGTGGGGGCAGGCACACGGTGGCCCCAGGCTGAGTCTCAGGAGGAGGGCAGTGACTAGGCCCCCTCAAACTTTCCTTCCTTTGCCCACCCCCCACCCCCGTCCTTTTAGGGTCAAACAGAGCTGGCTGTGAGGGTCTGAGGGTCTTCCTGGCTTTGACCAGAGGAAGGAAGCTGTGGTACAGAAGCATCCTGCATGTGGCAGGGGTCTGCAGGCCAGAGTCAAATGGAAGGGCTGGGGCCTTCTCTGTAACCAGGGGGCCCAAAAGAGGGGGTCCTATTCTTGCATGATTTCAGATACCCCGAGATGGCATATTTGGTGTTTCAACTCCTTTGAGGCGGTTGAGGACCCATTAGGAAAACAAACCGGTTGCTGCCTGGGTGTGTCCAGCTTTCTCTGGGAAGCTCAGAGAGTGACCCCCAGGATAGATGCCAGAGCCAGCTCTATGGGGTGCAGGCTTGTCCGCTCTTTCAACTGTCTTTTTTTTTCCAAGATTTTATTTTTATGTCATCTCTACACCCAGCATGGGGCTTGAACTCACAACCCCAAGATCAACAGTCGCATGCTCCACCAACTGAGCCCGCCGAGGCACCCCATCTCTCTCATTTGTCTTAGCTGGCTGGGGTCTGAAGGTTCCCCACTTGGGAGGGCTAACTGGCTTTCGCCAAAGACCTGCAGGCCCCTTGGGACATCCTGGAGTGTGGGGTTTATGGTCAGTGCCACCACAGTGCCTTCCACAGCCTCCCGGGGCTGTCATTGCAAACCCCTTCCTCCCCGTGGCCTTCACCATTTCCCTGGTGCAGGTCCTCCCCTGAGATTAGCAGAGAACTGTCACCGTCTGTGGTGTTCTCTCCTGTAGAAATGGATTTTGTTTCAGGCTGTGTGCCCCAGTACTTCCTCAATCCGAATGCTTCTTTTTTAGCATTTGCCGTGTGCACGGAGTCACACAGCCCGTGATGGGGAGAGAGGTACATGTGGCGTGGTGCTGCCTTGTGGGCGTTTTGCGTGAGAGATGTTTCCAGAACATTATCAGAGAGGATGTAACCAAGTGCCATAGGGTGCCCTGCAGCCCACGATCCTTGGCTCAGCCTTGCAGACCAGAGGGCTGGCTGATTCTGGTTCCCCTCAGTAAGACAGGAAAAGTTTTCTAGCTTTCCTTCTTCTGTTAGTCAGCTTGCTGTAAGCCTTCCATTCTGTTGCTATCAGTCTGGGAACTCTTACATGGCTGGGCGGCTGCTCTGTTCCCAGCCCCAGAGCTAGGACAGAAACAGCGAGAAGGCCTGGCCTGGGAGGGGGAAAGAAGGGGTGGGGGCAGAGCAACCCAGGGCCTTCTGTGTTTATGCAGCTTGCTAGCGATGGCTGGTGTGGCTTTCTCTGGGCTAAGACTGGATCCCTGTCTCCATGGCAGGTGCAGGACAGCTTCCTCCTGGCTGCAGGAGGTCGTGCGGAGACCCTGATTCCCACCCCTGGGCACTGCTGCCTCCCTGATCTCATCTTGCTTTCTCCCCTGTAGATGATCCCTCCTGACCAGGAGCTGCTGGTGTGGTATGGAAACTCACACAACACTTTCCTGGGGATCCCTGGTGTGCCTGGGCTAGAGGAGGAGCAGAAAAAGAACAAGCATGGTAGGTAGTCTCCGTGAGGCCACAATGACAAGGGACCCCTGGAACCCAGAATGAGAGAGTGAGAGTGTGCCTGTGTGCACCTGTGTGTGGCAGGGAGGTTCCTGGTCTCCAGGGACCCGGGTTCAATCTCCAGCAGTATCGAGCCCATGAGGCTACTGGCTCAAGCAGGCCAATGCCCCCAGAGCCACCACCACAGTCCGGACACGAATGGCACTGTTTTCTGGACAAAATAAATTGTCTGGGGGCAGGCTGGGTTGGGGGGGGGGGGGGCACGCAGGATACCAGAGAGGCAGAGGGTGGAGCAGAAGGAGCAAGGGGCCGGGCAGCAGGAGCCTGGATTGAGTTCCAGTTCTGCTGTACAATCTTGGGAAGGGCTCTGTGCCTCTTGCTCCATCTGTAAAGGCAAGAGGTTGGGCCAGATGATTTTTAAACCCCCTTCCAGCTCTGACAATGTACATTTCCCTCTGTCCCTGGTGGAGGTGCTTGGTATTAACCTGTTGAATGAAGGTGGGGTGGAGTGTACTTGTGTGTGTGTGTTGTGGGGGACACCGGTCAACACAATACACACTGTTTGCTCAAGACCTATTTCATGGCAAGTATTGCACTAAACCTTTTACAGCTATCACCCCACTTGGGTCCTCATAAAACCCTTGTGAAATTTGGTTAGAGGAAGAACCTGAGGCTCATGAACTACTGTTTATCCAGCCCTTGCCCTGCAGCTAATGTTTCACAAACAGTAATTTCTCTGATTCTTACAAGAAGCAGGCTTATGGGGGTGATGCTATTATTATCCCCATCTCAGCAATGAGAAAGGTGAGGCTCAGTTCCCGGGTACATAGTAGGGCACTCAGTAAATATTTGTGGGATGAATAAATGAAAGGATTTTTTTGGGGGGGTGGGAGCCTTTTATGGAAGGCTACCATTTACAGAAGGCTACTTTGAGTCAGGTACTTCTCGTATACAGGCTAAGGGAGGTAAAGTGCAGCTTTTTATGATCACCTCGTGACGTTCTGCACAGCCCCGTGAGGTCGTAGTAGGTCCCCATTTTACAGATGAGGACGTTGAGGTTTGGAGGCGAAGTCACTAAGTCCCTGAGGTCTCCCAGCACGGTCTGGAGGCCAGCTCCTATGTGACCCCAAGCCAGCTTCCTCGATGCCTCTCTCATCCCTCTGGCAGCGCCGCCAACCCGTCTGCTCAGACCCGCGCCCCCCACCCCCACCCCCGTCGATCCGCGGCGGGCTGGGCGGGCCGGGCCGGCGGCGGCGCGGGGTCGTAACGAGGCTGCTCTCTCTCCCCCCCTCCCCGCCTGCCCCCCCCCCGGGCCCCGCCCGCGCGGCCAGAGGACTTCCACCCGGCGGACTCGGCGGCGGGCACCGCGGGCCGCATGCGCTGCGTCATCTGCCACCGCGGCTTCAACTCGCGCAGCAACCTGCGCTCGCACATGCGCATCCACACGCTGGACAAGCCCTTCGTGTGCCGCTTCTGCAACCGCCGCTTCAGCCAGTCGTCCACGCTGCGCAACCACGTGCGCCTGCACACGGGCGAGCGCCCCTACAAGTGCCAGGTGTGCCAGAGCGCCTACTCGCAGCTGGCCGGCCTGCGCGCCCACCAGAAGAGCGCGCGCCACCGGCCGCCCAGCGCCGCGCTGCAGGCGCACTCGCCCGCGCTGCCCGCGCCGCACGCGCACGCGCCCGCGCTCGCCGCCGCCGCCGCCGCCGCCGCCGCGCACCACCTGCCGGCCATGGTGCTGTGAGCGCCGCGCCCGCGCCCGCCGCGCCCGCGCGCCCCGCCTCCTCGCGCCCGCGCGCCCCGCCTCCTCGCGCCCGCGCGCCCCGCCTCCTCGCGCCCGCGCGCCCCGCCTCCTCGCGCCCGCGCGCCCCGCCTCCCGCCTCCGGCCCGCGGGCGGGGCCCTGGGCTGCTCTCGCCTCACGCGACCGCCCGCACCCCCCCGGCGGCAGACGGCCCGGCGCCCGGCGCTGTAGGTGCGCCCCGCAAGTGAACCCCTAGGCATACAGTCTTCGCTCCATCTCGCAGGTGAGGACACCGAAGGGCAGCGTCCCTTTGCAGGCCACCCAGCTGGTGCGGCTGCTCGGCCGCCTCCTCCTCGGGGGTCCCCACGCCCGGCGTCGGGGGCGCTCTGGCACACCTGTCGAGCAGGCCGCCGGGGCTGGCGTCCCTCGGGGGTGGCAGGGCCTCAGCGGGGGCGGGGAGCCGGGGGCGGGGGCGGGCCGGTGTGCGCACGGCCCCTCCGGCCGCCTCTTGGGACTGGTGCCCCGCGGTGTCGGGAGTCACGGACTTGATCTTGAGAGTTGGGGGCGGGCGGGGCTCTGGGGCAGCCAGGAGAGACCCGAGACCTGCTCTTCCCTGGCAGGCGGGCCCTTCTCTCCTTCTGGCCACCTTACCCCCAAAGCCGGCTCCCGGGCAGGGACGAGGCACGAACACTGTGCAGTGTGCCGGGCAGGCTGAGCGCGAGGGCCAACGGAAATCCACTGGGGTACCCGGGCAAGGCCCTGCTCCTCTTAGGGCCTCAGTTTCCCCTTTCCCCATCCGTAAAATGAGAAAGGTGGAGCCATGCCTCCTCCTCTTCATCTGACTTCTCGCTTAAGGAGAAGCTTCCCTTCCCCTCCTGGCCACACTCCTGCGGGAGGAGGGCAAGACCGGCTTCTCCACGGGGAAAGCACTTCCAAGCAGTGCGGGATCCTGGTGGTGGTGGGTGGGTGGGTGGGGGGCGTTCCGCCCCGCCCACCCACTCCCTCCCTTGCCTCCTCCCAAGTCTCCCCAAACTCTGGCGGTGGGCGCCCTCTGGTGTCGCCTGTCCCACCTTGCAGTCATGTTCCAGAAGTCCCGTAAGGCGTTTTGTAAAATAAAGAAGCTATAATAATAATGAAAAGTATAAAATGTATAGGGTTTTCAAGAAACTGTGTTCTACTTCCAGAAAATGGTCACTTTAACTTTGTAAATATTTATCTAAAATGATATTTACGAAACTGTGATATATATTATTTGATTGTATATGTACAACTGTAAATACATTTGTACCTCTCTTGTATTCTAAAATAAAAATTACTTGGATCATTTATCACTTAGCATCTGAAGGGGTCGACACATTTATCTGCATGAAAAGGAAATATGAAAAGTGCCTAGAAACTGGAGAGGGGTTGGGCAGAGTTGTTTCACTGCTTTTGAAAGTCACCATTGTGCCCTCCCCGAGGAAAATTCTCCGTCACGACTGGGATGTCAGCTCCTAAAGAGATGGCCACAGTGCAAAGCAACCGGAAATCTTTGAAGGGGTTGGGCATATTCTTCATGCTTCTAGCTGGACTCTCAAATCCTGGTGTCCCACTTTGTTACTTCCCCCAAATCTTTACTTACTTTTTTTTTTCTTTTTTCTTTTTCATGAACAATTTAAGAGAATTCAAGCAGCCCATGGGGTGGACCAGGATGGCCACTAAGTGCCCTCCCAATGCCTAGAATCTCCAAATGCTCTGGGTCCCCATTTCCAGAGCGTCCCCGAGGAAGAGGAAAGAGGAGGAAGGCCTTCAGTGCAGGGCCAGGCCCTGGCTCTCCTACCCAGTGCCTCCTGGCCAGGAGGAGGTGTGCACACTGGGGAGTGTGAGTTCACACCTGTACCCCAACACGTGCTAGTTGGGAGGGTCGCCTTTCCAACCCACTGGCATCGTCCAGGCACACCTCTGTGCATCCTCATTTAGCCGTGTGTGTGCACATGAGCTCACACACGCACACATGAAGACACTTGAACTCGCACTTTTATAAAGACCATCCCCATTTGGAGCTTCAGGTGCTCCCGAAGACCCCCATACTTTGGGGACTGGTCTTGTACCCCGGCAGATGGGGGCACAGGTAGAGATGTACACTTGATGTGTTCATTTGCAAGGCCCATCTGGGGTTTCCTCCCTAGGGTAAGCAGGGTAAGTCACCCTGGTTACTCCTCCTCCCCTGTCTCCAACCTCGCCTCTCCTTTGAAACCTCACCACTAGGCTTCTGATGCCTCCAGGGGCCCCCGGTATTACCTTCCCCCCATTGCAGGCCCCACAGGAGGCCTCTTGTTTCCATAAACAAAGCTGAATCCCCTTTCTCCTGGATGCTGACCAGTAGAGTTAAACACCCTCCTGGCCCACATGCCGTGCCTCCAGAGAGTAATGCTGGCTTCCTTCAGGAGTCAGACTTCAGAGAAGTCAGTAGGGCCCTTGATCAAAAATCTACATGGCTCTCCGTAGCTAATTCCATTCTGTGAAGTCCCCGCTACTGAGCGCAGGGTCCAGAGCCCGGGCTCCAGAACCCACCTGGTGGCAGCAGGCTGTAATTGCAGGCTAAAGTGCATTTGCTATGCCTGCCGCAGACCTACACAAGCGTGCGGGCGCCGGAGATCCAAGGATGAGCAGAGAGGAATGGGGGTCCTGAAGAATTGCACGCTGCTGGGAGGCCTGATACCAAAGGCCTGAGCTCTCACCGTGCTTGCATTCGCAGCAGACGCCTCAGGCCCCTTTCCACGGAGTGCACCCCCCCTCCTCCCCACAAAGGCATGCAAACACCACAGCAGTTTCTGGCCTTAGGGATTTAAATGCATTTATTCTGGGAATCCTCCCCACAAGCCCATGAAGCTGATGCTCTTTTTTCCTCCCTGATGCACTATTAATATCCATTTGAAGTAGAAGAAAACTGAGCTAGAGAGTAAATCATTTGCCCATGTCACCCAGCCACGAGTAGCAGAGCCGTTTTCGCCACGGCCGCTGACCCTAGAAGCCATGCTTACGACCAGTAGGCCAACCACATCCCAGTCAACCCACAGAGTCAGGGCTTTCTGCATAACCCACAGGGATGCAGTGCGGACCGGCACCGTATATAGACCTTGTATTCTTCAGCCTTGCAAAACTCACTTACTCATTCTAGAAGCTTTTTTGGAGATTCCTTAGGACTTCGATGTACACGATCATGTTGTCTATGAATAGAGACAGTTTTACTTCTTCCTTTCCAATCAAGATGCCTTTTCTTTCTTTTTCTCATCTTATTGCGTGGTTCAGGAACTCCAGGAGTGGAGGATTCTAGATAGAGGCCACCGGGTCTGGGTTTGAAACTCTGCCCCGCCCTTCACTCGCTGTGTGACCTGAGGCAAGTCAATTAGCGGCTCTGTGCTTCAGTTTCCTCAAATGGAAAAGAATGTTGTGAGGATAAAGTGGGATAATGTATATAAACAAATAAAGCATGTGGCGTGGTGCCTGGCACAAAGTTAAGTGTTCAATAAATGGAAGCTCTTGTTAATGCAGGGATGCCTTTGGTGGGTGAGAAGGGTTGTAGCTTCTTTTGCCACCCACCCCACTGGGCATTCCCCCAGAGGGCATCTGAGGCAGCTGTCCACCCCCCTCTTCTCCTACCCTTTGCTGTGTCCATTATCCTTGGATCTCTTGAAATGGACGAACAGATATCCCAAACTTTCAGCTTCCTTCCCACCTCAGAGCTGGCCTACTGGGATGTATGTCTGTGGCTAGTGGGGCAAGTTCTGGATGGTGGCGGATTAGCACCCTTGCCAACTGCTTCTGCAACGTGGCTGCCTTGTCGAAATCAGACGTCTTGCATGTTAGTGCAGGGCTTCAAAGACAAGTGCCCCGAGAACCTGTCCCTGCTTGTCTGGTACCTGGCCCAGGCGGGATTAGGGCAGGTGGAGCGTGGCCCAGAGTGAGCCCCCTACAGGAGGGCTGGTTATTTACTCTCTAGGGAATGGCTAACCCTGGAAGGGGCCTCAGTTCCAAGCACTGAGACACAATGAACAAAAAGCATAAAGCCCCCGGTTCTTGGAGTACTCGTGTTCTAGTGGAGGAAGTCCGCAATAAATAAGCAAACACACAAGAACATTCAGTGACAAGAAAGGAGACAAGATCAAGTGATAAAAAAGGGACCGAGGATTATTCCGGAAAAGGTGGTCAGGGAAGGCTTCTCTGAGGAGGTGATAGTTGAGCTGAGGTCTGTGTGAGAAGCAGCCAGCCCCACCAAGACCTAGGAGAAGAGAATTCCATGCCAAGAGCGCCCCAAGTGCCCTGATCTTGGGGTGGCGACCAGAGCGGTGTGTAGGGAACACAGGTGAGACCAGCGCATCTGGCTGCAGTGGAAGGAGTAAGGGGTTGGGTTAGGAGGAGAGCGAGCTCAGAGACAGGGCCAGGCGAAGACGAGTTTGGATTTTATTCTTGGTGTAAAGGGAAGCTGCCAGAAGTGTTCTAAGCCAGGAAGTGGTTTAACCTGATGTGTTTTTTAAAAGCTCACTCTGTCTGCTCTATGGAGATTGGATGGTAGGAGGGGCAAATGTAGAACCAGCCTGGAGGTGGTGCCCAGGTGAGACATGACTGAGAGGCCTGAGGAAAGTGCACAGATGGGAGGTAGATGGATGTGGGGGAAACTGATGAATGTTAGACCTGAGAGGCCATTAAAATCACTGAGGGAGTTAAACACATGCTCACAGGCTTCCAAGACCCCACCTTTGTAGCACCTCAATGCCCAAGTTTGGGCTCAGGAATCCATATTCCTTTTTTCTTTTTTCTTTTTTAAGATTTTATTTATTTATTTGACAGACAAAGAGAGAGAGAGAGCACACAAGCAGGGGGAGCGGCAGGCAGAGGGAGAGGGAGAGGGAGAAGCAGGCTTTCTGCAAAGCAGGGAGCCCAATTCGGGGCTCGATCCCAGGACCCCAGGGTTCATGACCTGAGCCTAAGGCAGACGCTTAACCAACTGAGCCAGCCAGGCGCCCTGAGGCATCCATATTCCTAATAAGCCCCTCTGGGATGCGCACTGTTCCCGGGTGCCCGGTTGCCCGGTGTGGTATGAAGAAGCAAGTCTGTTGCACAGAGAGGAGCTCTGGTGGGGAGTCTGGAGTCTCGGGTGCCAGTCCCAATTGCAGGTCTGTTGTGGGATTCAGAGACCCCAAGGGACCGCCAGGAATAGCAATTCTTACCTCCAAGATGGGCCAAGTGTGAGGAATAAGTAGCATGTGTTTGTAAAGCATTCAGCAAAGGACAAGGCCCTGGAGAAGTGTTCGGTAAATGGTGCAGGCTTTGGGGTAAAGCAGGTGCAGTGGGAAGGAACATTGGCCCTGCCACCAAGCACTCTGTGAATATTAGTCCCTTTTGGCCCTTAGTTGCTTCCGCTATTAAAAAACGTATCTGCAGTGGACTGAATGTGTCCCTCCTAAATTCATGTGTTGAAATCCTAACCCCCAAGTTAATGGTATGAGGAGGTGGGACCTTTGGGAGGTGATTAGTTCACCAGGGTGGAGCCCTTGTAAATTGGATTAGTGCCTTATAAAAGACACCCCAGAGACTCCCCTCACCCCTTCTGGGCCATACGAGGAAACAGCGAGAAGTCAGTTGTCTGTGAACCAGGAAGCCAGCTCTCAACAGACACTGAATCCGACACTACACTTAGACAGTGTTCATAATCCCAACACTGTGACAGGCCCGGTAAATGTGGATCGCTTCTCGGCCTTTTGGCTAAGATCAAGTGTAGGCTCGTAAATGTGGGTGCTGTGAGAATGGGAGGGGCGGAGGTTTTGTCCGTCCCTTCTGGGATGAAAGTGGATGATGTCAAGAGTACCCTACTCTTGGTCTAGGGGCCCTCCCAGGCCTAGCTCCCTAGCCGGCTGGGCTACCCTGGCTCAAAGGACACCACTGCCCTCTTATGGCGGAAGCCAGACTCAACTCACACTTTTGTAGCTCTATCACCTCCTCCATGCAGGAGGGCCATTGTCTGACCTTCGGATGCCCCATGGAGCCCTAGAATTTATATCCTTGACTGCCTTGCAGGATTGGCTTTCTTGACAGATGTAGTTGTGAGCTTTGCTTAAAAAGAAATGTTGTCCTTTTGGAGGTTTAGCAAACAACTGATCTGATGGATCTTTAGGAGGCAGTGGACCCGATTTACTGAGCGTAGTGTGTGAGGCTGATGCAAGTTATCTAATCCTCTTTAGGATCCCTGTGCATAATCATCAGCTCCAATTCCCTGAGGTTGAAACACAGTTTGTTGTGGATGCTATAAATCACGCAGGGCAAGGGGGAGGGAGAGGGTAGTGGGAGGCAGGGAGAAGGGAGGAGGGAAATGCTCCTATTAAATAGGATGTGGAGGGGGCACCCGGGTGGCTCAGTCGGTTAAGTGTCTGCCTTCGGCTCAGGTCATGATCTTGGGGTCCTGGGATTGCGCCCCACATCAGGCTTTCGGCTCAGCGGTGCGTCTGCTTCTCCTTCTCCCTCTGTGATCTCTCTCGCTTTTGCTCTCTCTCAGATAAATAAATAAAATATTTTTAAAAAGTAAACTGGACATGGGGATAAAGCCACATATACATCTGTCTGTCCACCATGGAATCCTTAGAACAGCTCCTGGCACACAGAGAGTGCTCAATTTGTTGTATGAGTAAATATAAGCCCATATCTTTGTATTATGTGTGCACCTGCCCTCCCTACAAAATAGGCCTGCTTTGCAAGGTTTGCATATTCTCTTAGGCAGCTTTATTTTTAAGTTAGAGTAAACCAGCTCATTCAAAAGAAGTTATTAAGAAAGAACAGAATCAGCACCTGGAACACTGTTTGGGGGTAGAGGTGGTTGGTTGGTACTGAGCCAGCACCCACGAGGAGGCAGTAAAGTAGAATACTGGGGCTACCAGGAACAGTATGAAAAGGGCCTCTTTTTTCTTTCCAACTCGTGTCTTCTGTAGATCCCACCTCCCCAACCTCCTGAGCTCTCTCATACCAAAGAATCACATTTTAGCAACTTAGAGTTGGAAGGAAACTCATAGGCCCATTTCTCAATGATCTCTGACTCTGGTAAACCATAAATGGGATGATGATTACGAGATATTTTTGGTAAAAAAATCAAACGCCACGCAACCTGAGATCTCATTATTTCACAGGTACGGCCTTACCAAGAGTAAAAATGGCAACTTGGCTCCCTCATTCCCTTCATGTTAGCCAAATGGTTGCCAGTAGTCAACATGGCCGCCAGACTGTGCGTTCCCATTGGCGAGTGCTCTGAGGCCCGCCCTGCCCCGCCCCTCCGCGCGAAGGCCGGGAACGGCCGAGGCGGAAGTCGCGGTTCCCGGCCGGACTGCGCCTGCGCCATTCTTTGGCGCCAAGATGGCGATGGAGATGAGGCTTCCCGTGGCTCGCAAGCCTCTTAGCGAGAGCGTGGGCCGCGATACTAAAAAACATCTGGTGGTTCCGGGGGACACGATCACCACGGACACGGGATTCATGCGGTACGTGGGGACCTGGGGACTCGGGGCCCCAAAGGGCGGCCGCTGGGCTGTGCACGTGGCCTCTGTTCCCTTGCATCTGAGTACCCGCGGGACGCAGGGCACAGCTGAGCATCCCAGCTCCCTTGTTTCCGAGTCCTCGGGCTTCTTATTCTGTGCACCTTGTGTGTCCCCGTCTGCGTTTGCCTCAGTCCCTGGAAACCCTTCTCTCCTAACCTCTGGTGTCAACGACTCCTGGGTTCTCCGTCTCGGGCCCTGATCTCTGAGCCTTCCTCGCCTTCTTCGTTGGAGACCTGCAACGCTGGGGAGGGTTAGGAGCAGGGGCCTCTTTCCAGTTTTCAGATGAGGGGACAGTGGGCATTCCTGACGTGGCCTCTTCTCTCGGCGACATCTCTTAGCCAGGTGCTCGGTTTTGAAATCAGTAATTGTTTGGGCTTAGGGCATACACAATATATTGTGCTCCATGCACCCAAATCTACATTTTGAATCCGAAGGCAGTACGATATGTGTAGTTAAAAGAGAGCAGACTCTTGAGCCAGACAGTTGGGGTTTCAGCCCTGCACCATCACATATTATAAGTTGTATTTCCTCTCCAAGGTCAGTTTTCCTATCTGTTAGATAGTGATAATAACAGTAACTATTTGGTAGGAAAATGAGAATTAAATGAGGAAATAATTAAGAAAAGAAGCGGGGTGCCTGGGTGGCTCACTCGGTTAAGCGTCTGACTCCTGATTATAGCTCAGGTGTGATCTCAGGGTCCTGCGATCCAGCCCATGCAACCCCCGCCTCCCCAGGCTTCACGCTGGGTGTGGAGCCTGCTTGGGATTTTCTCCCTCTCTGCCTCTCCCCCTCCTCTTTCTTTCTCAAAAAAAAAAAAAAAAAGAAGAAGAAGAAGAAAAGAAGCAAAACTCACCATTGTATCACTATCGTAGATAAACACTAGTAGTATTTCAGCCTTTTGGTGGTGGGGGTACAGCATTTATAATATTGCTCTTTAAAGTTTTAGTTTGAGGTTATTGGATCAGTGTCAGTCCTTCATGAATTCAGCATATATTTGTATTACGTGCGGTTGGAGTACAGCTGTGATCAAAGTAGGGAAATCTCTGTCGCGGTGGAGTTTATATTTCGACAGAGACAGACAGATAATAAACAATAAGCACAACAAACAAGTTAGTATGTTTGGTGATAAATTCAGTGGGGAAAATGCAAAGTTGAGCAGGGTAAGTGGAATGTGGTTGGGAATATGGTGGGGGTGGTGGCAGCAGGATGGGTGACTGTTTTAAATGGGGTAATCAAGGTAGGCCTGATGGAGAAAGTGACATTTGAGTAGACTTGAGTAAGACAAGGGGAGATGTCTATGCAGCTCTCTCAAGGAGTGTTCGGGGCACAGAGAAAAGCCAGGCTTTAAAGTAGGAGGAGCCTGTTAGGAATATATTGTTCTTGAAGGGAGAGGTCATCTCAAGAGTTACCCTTGTATCCTTTGTATCCTACTCTTAAAACAGGGGCCATGGAACTTACATGGGGGAAGAGAAGCTCATTGCATCTGTGGCTGGCTCAGTGGAGAGGGTAAACAAGTTGATCTGTGTGAAAGCTTTGAAAACCAGGTGAGAACAAAAGGTGTGTATTCTCTTGTGTCATTCATGTTATACAGCCAGGAACATACCCCCCCCCCCGCCGCCCCCCGCCTGCTTTATCATTCAGTAGGTCTGCGATTTTGAACATGACTATAGAAAGGATACAGGTGACTATAGGTGAGTGTGGGCTTCAGAGGTTTCCTCACATTACTCGATCTCTCCAAACTTTGGCCACCTCCTCTGCAAAATGAGGGTAATAGCATGATCCATCTTGTAGGATTTTTGTTAGAATTCATTGAAACGGGACATGTAAAGTACTTAGCACAGGGCCTGCTACCTCGAAGAGCTCAGTAAAGGTTAGCCCCAGAAAGGAAGCTGGTGGGGCTGGAACGGAGTGAGCAAGGGGGAGTGTAGGGGCAGATGCAGACAGAGCCGAGGTGGGCAGCCTGCCTTGATAAGCATTTTGTCTTCCACTTTATGTAGCCTAGGCCACCCCTGGAAGGGGTGGAGCAGAGGAGGGACATGATCTGACTTATGTCTTAATATCACCGGCTGCTGGGAGGGATTGAGGGGGAACAGGGGCAGGCTTAGGGAGACTTCATGGACTGTTTTCATCATCTAAAATAATGGTGGCTTGGACTAAGGGAGCAGTAGAAGTGGGGAGTAATGGCTGATTCTGCATACATTTTGTGTTCTGAGTTTTTTGTTTTGTTTTTCACCTAAGGGTATTGGATTTTGTATTCTTTGGGCTTTTCCATATATAGGACCATGTCGGTGAATCGAGATAGTTTTACTTTTTCCTTTCCCAATTTGGATGCCTTTTTTTTCTGTGTATATTTTGAAGGTAGAGCCAGTAGGATCAGCTGCTGCACTTGTCCTGGAGTGAGAGAGAGAGAGAGAGAAATCAAGCGTTCCTCCAAGGACTCCCAAGATTTTTGGCTTGAGCAACTGGAGGAATGGTGTTGCCATTTACTGAGACCCTGCTGGCTGGGAGAGGACCAGTTTGTGATGGGGGCTGGGGAGGGAGCTGCTGGAAAGCTTTTCTTTAGGTTGGTGACATTTGGAAATGGCTAATAGTCATGTAAATAGAGATGCTAGGTAGCCAGCAGTTGACTAGAGTCTGAAATTCAGAAATGGCATAGTCATCAGTGGTGTTTAAAGCCATTAGATTGGATGAGCTCAGCAAGAGGTGAGTGTGGGCTGACGGAGAAGAGGTCCACGGCTGGAGCCTTCAGCATGGAAGACATAATGATTAGAATTGGGATAAGGAATTAGCACAGGGGCCGGAGCTGAGCTCCCTGTGGGTGGGGGAGACTGTGAGTGGACTGGATTGAGTGGGGTCCTGTCTCAGTCTCCTCTTCCTCCTCCTTTGCTGATGCAGAAGCCATCTGTGCTCCAGATCCCCCCGGGAAATATTCCATGGTTATCAGTGTCATGTAATTAACAAAACAGGGGTTTCAGGCTTAAGGAACTACTTGGAATAAATGGTTTGTCCAAGAATAGTTAATGGAGACTTTATACACGTAGGAATGTTTGAAGTTCTCGGTTCTTGGAAATAAGTCGGAAAAGCATAGTATGTGAATTTACCATACTTCAGCATGGTGCCTAATCCAGGCCCTCATCCTGTTGAACTGAAATCTCCAGTGGTGCTTAGTCTTGTAATAAGGTCTGTTCACTGATGGATGACCTGTTTTATCTTTCAGATATAATGGTGAAGTAGGAGACATTGTGGTGGGGAGAATCACAGAGGTAAAGTAGATATCATGTTGGTTTTTACAAAGTAAAAGCAAGCTGGTGATTGAATGAATGGGATAGTCATTCTATCTGTAGTTATGCAAATGGGGCATTCATTGCATTTGACTCTTACGTGCCCCCCCCTTGAAGAGATTTTATTTTTTTATTTGAGAGAGCACAGGTGGGGTTGGGGAGGAGCAGAAGGAGAGGGAGAGGCAGACTCCCTGCTGAGCACGGAGCCCCATGGGGCTTGATCCCAGGACCTGAGCCTAAGGCAGACACTTAACCGACTAAGCCACCCAGGCGCCCCTTATGTGCCCTTTGATGTGAACAGTTGGCTTGTTGTATTGGGGATTATTGGTCACTGACGATGTGAGCTCTTGCCCCTGGAGTCTGTGTCCAACTGTGAAACTTCTCTGTAGGTTCAACAGAAGAGGTGGAAGGTGGAGACCAACTCTAGGCTGGATTCGGTCTTGCTTCTGTCATCCATGAACCTTCCTGGAGGAGAGTTGGTAAGGGTCTCCATGCTGGTACTGTAGAATTTGCTAGCGAAAGTTCTGGGGTCCGTTGCACCAGTGGAGAACTCTGCTTTATGCTGAGGTTGCCTCTTTTACTCTTGTTTGTCTGCTGTGAGGTTTGCTGCCTGGATGTACACATTTTCACTTGGTCCGGGCCTCCCAACATAAGCAGCAGTTGGTATGTGATAGGATCTGGAATGGCCGTGGGGTGTGATCCCAAAAGAGAGTTGGAAGAGAAGCTCTCAGGTGCTTGGTGCTCATTTTCCTTTTCTGGGTGTATCAGCTTTGCACAGTGATGGTGTCCCTTGAAAAGTTGTGTTTAGATTAGCTTCTTGTCAATTGAATGGCATTTGGTTATTCCAGACAACTGCAATACCTAAGGGGCGGCCTTTTGTAAAATGCCGTGGTTTTTCTTCAATCCATCATGTATGTACAGAGAGGCTCACTGCTAGGTTCTCTGGAGAATGCAAGATAAAGGAGGCTTGGCTGAGTTCCTGAAAGTGCACAGATTAGCAGGGGAAGCGAGATAACTGATCTAAATACCTGACAGTCGAAGAATAAACAAGCGTGTGATACAGAAGGAGTGAGTGATTTCACTGGGAGATGCTTGTAGGAAAGGGGCGTTAGAGTGGATCCCTGAAGAATGGATGGAATTCCACAGGGAGTCTGAGACCACGGGAAATGTGTGAGTAAAGATAAGAGTCAAGCCATAGGTAGTCTGGTCCTGCTGCAGCAGGGAGGGCTACCACGGACGGTGAGTGTGGACAAGGAGGCTGGGCACGATTGGGAGGGGTTTCAGTAGCACGTAAGGAGTTGGAAAACTATGCAGAGAAAGGAGGGGGAGAGGAGGAGCTGTGGGAAGGCCTGTACGAGGGAAAGTGGTGGTGATCGCTCTGGTATTCCTTGAGTGACACTGCTTACCTACTCGAGTGTCTGAATACTGTGGCTGGTTCCAGGGATCTTTCTGTAGGATCTGACTTAAGTCACATCATCGCTTTGTGTATTTCAGAGGAGAAGATCTGCAGAAGACGAGCTGGCCATGAGAGGTTTCTTGCAGGAAGGGGATCTTATCAGTGTATCCTGCACCTTGGATTACAGCGTCTCTGTGCTCTATACGGAGCTGGGAAATGGGGCTTTGATCGTATGTCTCCTCCTGGAGACATGTAGTCCTGGCAGGGATCTGGATCCTAGATCAAGTGTCTCAGGCTCTGCTGCAGCCTTCCTCCATCCACTTAACCCAGCCGAACTCTCCAGCCCTTGTTCAGACCTGCTGCCTCAGTCATTTTTGGGGGTTTTGTCACTTATGGTGGCCCGTGCTTTAAGCTAGACTCCAATTTTCTTATGCAGGGAGTAGAAAAGGTGTTGTTCACATCAAGACATTCGTGAGCACCAAGGGGGAGAGGTTAGGTCGAGGTGCTGTCCTCCGGGTCTGTCAGGCTGCGAGTGGGACCGTTGGGGATGGGAGGAAAGGAAGGAGGGGGGGGGCCAGGGCCCCAGGGAAGGCGGGTGCCGTGAGAGTGTTTGTTCCTTTATCACCCCGGCCAGGCGGAGGTGCAGGCGGTGTTCTCCGATGGGGCTGTCTCTCTGCACACGAGGAGTCTGAAATACGGCAAAGTAAGTTGGGCTCCTGCTTTTCCTGGATACAGACTGAGACTTCGAATCCATTTCTGAATCCCCAGGGCTCTCTGGAATTCGGCCCTGAAGAGCCCCAGAAGTTAAGCAGGACAGGCTGGCGTCCCCAGAGCGGCTGGTTCACGCGGTCATGGGTCAGTAGCATTGTCACCGACGACAACTCCTGTTCTCTTCTTACTGAGGAGACTGTTGTGGCAGGAGAGCTCCTGTGACCAGGGGCCCCGCGCCCTGCTGGCTCGGCTCACTCCCGGGGGCGCTGCCGCTTTGTACTGGGGCCAGGCCTGAGAGGCTCTACTAGGAGCAAAGGGAGGTCATACTGAAACCCGATGGCCCTGGCTCTAGACAAATGTCCAGTCAATAAATTGGGTGTCATTACTAGGAGAAACTGGTTTGCCACTTGAGCCTCTAAATGAAATGTCACTGATTGTATGAAGTTATGTTATTGAGGCTCTTACTGTTTTAACGATAGCGTACTTTTTTTCTTTTAAAGATTCACTTATTTTAGCAAGAGAGAGTGCACATGAGCAGGGGAGGGCCGAGGGAGAGAAGCAGACTCCCCGCTGGGCGGGGAGCCCGCGTGGGGCTTGATTCCACAAACCTGAGATCATGACCCGAGCCGAAACCGAGAGCCAGGGGCCCCACGCCAGCATACTTTCTCTAAAACAGATTATGATTTATTAGTCTCTGGGCTTTATCTGGCGGAACCTTCTCATTTTCTGTTCGCTTGTGGAGTGGCTCCAGTCAGCCGTGCGCGCAGCCCTGGAGCAGGGCCACGGCTACACTCTGGGTGCTGACCTTCCTGGGCTTGGTCCTGCAGACCCTCCCTCCGCGGGATGGGAATTCGGGGCTGACCCTCCCCCCCCCCACCAGGGATGGGTTTGCACCCAGCTGTAGGCCACTCCCCTTGCCCAGCGGCACGCGTGTCCGGGCAGGGTAGGTGGCTGGGATCCAGGTGGAACAGAATGGTGCACCTGGGCCCACAAGAGGCTCGGGCGCACGTCCTCATTAGCGCCAGCTTGCCTGACTCTGCCAGCGCACCAGCCCCAGATTCAAATATAATGATGAGAATGGGAGAGAATGAGAGAAGAGTATTGAAAGTCACCTTCTCTTGGGGTGTGTCAACAACCTCTGCGTCCCCAAGTGTCCTCTGGGTGTAATTACCCTGTGTGTACACACAGGTGACTGTAGTCATTAACAGGAGTGGCCCCGACTCCGCTGTAATGAGGATGTGTGTTCTGTGGTCTGCTTTTCACGCACTTTACTCATGACCCTCCAGTGACTTCGTTTATGCTGTATTTCTTTAGCTAGGCCAGGGGGTGTTGGTCCAGGTTTCCCCCTCCCTGGTCAAACGGCAGAAGACTCACTTCCATGATTTGCCCTGTGGGGCCTCAGTGATTCTTGGTAGCAACGGCTTCATCTGGATTTACCCCACACCCGAGCACAAAGAAGAGGACGCGGGGGGCTTCACTGCAAACCTGGAGGTGTGTAAACACCATGGCTGCTGTCGGGGCGGAGTGGCGCTCAGTCTTCGCTGTGCTTCTGGGGCGGGTGGAGCTGGCTGTTTCAGTTTTTAAAATTTTTTACTTTTGAAAGATTTATTTATCTATTTGAGAGAGCGCACGCATGAGCAGAGGCGGGAGAGGGAGAAAAGCAGACTCCACGCTGAGCGCAGAGCCCAACTCGGGGCTCGATCCCGCAACCCTGAGATCATGGCCTGAGCTGAAACCAAGTCGGACACTTAACCGACTTAGCCACCCAGGCGCCCCAAGAGCTGTCTGGTTTTAAACCGTACGACTGCTGTAGTCTGAGGGAATTCGAGTTTCCCTTGAGGTGTCTTCATGAACATCGTCTTGCCTTCTCCTTTTCTGAAGGAAAAGGAATGGGAACTGGTTTGATCCCCGTTGGCAGGATGGCAGGTTGCAGGGTTACAGCAGCTGAGGGCCTTTCTAGTCTCCCTTGGAGTTAGCCGTTGATGGGCTTGGAGTCTCGGAGTGATAGGGTCCAAGTTATAAATGATTTCTGCGCTTTGCCGTGACTCTTCCCTGACTTTGGTTCTGCTTCCCTCTGCCTCCGCTGGCAGCCCGTCTCCCTCGCCGACCGAGAGGTGATCTCCCGGCTCCGGAACTGCATCGTCTCGCTGGTCACCCAGAGGATGATGCTGTATGACACTAGCATCCTGTATTGCTACGAGGCATCCCTTCCGCACCAGGTACCTGCTCCAGCCACGCCCTCCCTCTTCCTCGTCCTGCTGTAAGGCGGGGGGGGGGGGTCGTCTGCTCCAGCGCTTCCTCTGGGATCGCAAGCACATCTCCCAGCAGCTTCACGTGTCCAGCGGTGGGAACGGATCTGCTGGGCAGCCCTACCGAGTGTTGGTAGAGTTTCCCCAAGATACTTGTAATATCCTCGGTGTCTAGTGTCACTCGAAGGACTTGGGGGGATGGAGGTGCTGGGGAGGACTAGTTTACAACAGCAGCTCTCTGGACTTCATCTTCCCATCCCCAATTTTAGTTTTATCTTTTTAGTGAATGCCAAGAATCAGGTCTTTGTTCCTGACAGCTGTGTATACGGGAGAATCTTGATCGTTCATTAAGCTGGTTCTAGCAGATTGCAATACTTAGCCTCCAATCAAGTATAGAGAGATGCCTGGATAGCTCAGTTGGTTGAGCTTCTGGCTCTTGATTTTGGCTCAGGTTGTGATTTTGGGATCATGGGATCGAGCCCCGTGTTGGGCTCTGTGTTCAGCGCAGAGTCTGCTTGGAATTCTCTCTCTGGCCCTTCCCCCCGCTCACGTGTTCGCTCTTGTTCTTTAAAATAAATAAATCTTAGGGGTGCCTGGGTGGCTCAGTCGTTCAGCGCCTGCCCTTGGCTCAGGTCATGATGTCAGTGTCTTGGGATTAAGCCCTGCATTGGGCTCCCTGCTCCTCCCTCTCCTGCTCCCCCCTGCTTGTGCGTGTGCGCATGCTCTCTCTCTCTGTCAAATAAATAAATACAATCTTTAAATAAATTAAATCTTAAAAACGAAAGGAATATAGAAAGTTTATGGTAACCATGCTTGGTTTCTGCATTTGGATGTCTGCTTATGGTTGGTTTCTTTTCTGAACAAATACCTTTTTCTTTTCTTCTTTAGATCAAAGACCTCTTAAAGCCAGAAATAATGGAGGAAGTAGTTATGGAAACGCGTCAGAGGCTTTTAGAACAGGAGGGGTGAGGAGAGACATCTGAAGGACGGGATGGTGTGCACCTGACCGGAGCCGTTCTTGAAAGTGAAGAATCTGATTTGTGGTCCCATGTGTGTCTCTCTAGAGAACTGACACTCGTCACCTGACCTATATCGGGCTACCTCTGGCCCAAAGACCTGCGTTCTCCTGTTGGAGGGCAGAGCCTGGGGAAGTGCTGCTGGCGCCTCTGGTTGCCCGCAGAGACCGTGCTATGGGTAGTTTCAGGCCTTTGGTTTTTTAAATTTTTATTATTATTATCTTTCTTTTTTTTTTTTTTTTTAAGTTTCAAGACTTCAGAAGCACACATGTTTCAGCCAAGTGGACTCCCATTCTGGAATAATATGGACAATCTTTTTCTTCCACTCACCATCAATTCACAATTTCACATGAAATTGCCCTTATAAAAAACACAGCCTCCCTGACCCGCAAATTGCCTGTTTTGGCCTCTGTTCCCACTTATGCAGCGCAAGTAGGATATTGAAGAATATAGTTAGTAACTTTTTTTTTTGAGAGAGAGGGAGCGTGCTTGCGCAGGGGTGGGGGAGCGTGGATCTTAAGCAGGCTCCACACCCAGCACAGAGCCAATGCAGGGCTCAGTCTCATGACATTGAGATCATGATCTGAGCTGAAACCAAGAGCCTGAACGCTTAACCCACTGAGCCACCCAGGCGCCTGTATAGTTAATAACATTAACCCAACAGTCAAATGGAAGAATAAAGTTAACCAAGCAGCCTTTGCTTGGTTGGAATCTTATTTCCCACTGCATGTTCCTTCTAGCGGTAAATGCGAGTGTCTACACCAGGCTGCTATAATCTGTCCTGCCTTTAAGGGTGATTTGTCAGAAGCTGATTTAGTGATAACAGAATGAATGTTCAGGGTGCTTCCGAGGAACACGAAAACAGTAAGAGAAATGCACATGGGTAAAGAAAAGCTGTTTTCCTCCTGTCAAGTAGTAATGCATTAACTTTAGAATAATTCAGGGTTGGGACACCTGGGTGGCTCAGTCGTTAGGCATCTGCCGTCGGCTCAGGTCGAGTCCCACATCGGGCTCCTTGGTCAGTGAGGAGCCTGCTGCTCCCCCCTCTCCCGCTGCTGCTCCCCCTGCTTGTGCTCTCTCTCTCTGACAAATAAATAAAAATCTTTAAAAAAAAAATAAGTAAATAATTTAGGGTTAAAAACAGGAGATTGAAGTTCTCACTGAGGAATGCTAGAATTCCCATGCATTGGTTTTCCTAATGACTGTCTAAAAATGGTACTCTGATTCAGGTTTGGGGAAGCATTTTTTTTAAAGGCAGTCTATGAAGTGCTATCTTATTTCACAATATGTGAACTATTTTTTATATATTTATAAATGTGGCTTTAACATCCCTGTTTCTGTCCCCGTGTCCTGTGTAATACTTGGGAGCAGAGTACAGTTGAAGGAGGGCTTAGCAGATACAAAATCTGATGGAGGCCTTAACTGCTCTCTGCCGGGTCATCTAGTAAAACGTAAACCTTGGACAGTTTCAGTGGCAGTGACTTTGAACACTGCGTTTGACAGTTTTGAAATACAGCTTGGCTCTTCACTGCTGGTGTATTTCCTGTCCTTACAACATTACTCAAGAGGTATCTTACAGACAGCCGAATATTCCATAGGCTGTGGTGCAACTTTAGATTTGCTCACTTGGCATGTTTTTAGAGCACATGCTAAGGCCGGAGGAGAGCAGGGAGTGCAGAGGGTGGAAGCCGAAGTCCCTGATTTGGTTTAGTTGACTGGGGTCATTTGTAAGCTCTCTGAAAGTTTGTTCTTGCTTGGTCTGGTCTCCCAGGCTGCCAGCCTTCTGCTGCTCATTCAGTATGTCCTGAATGGCAATCACCTGCCCAATGGGAATGATACAAAGAACAGTCTGAAAGCACCTCTTGGGGATGATCTCTCCATGGCCCACTAGAGGGCGCTCTTGTCGAGTGTTAATTCCAGTGGGTGTTCTTAAAAAATGGAGTAAGGGGAAATTATTACACTGGTGCCGAATCCCTGTAGCAACTTGTGATTGCTTTGCTCTATAAAAGTGAGGACAAAGTTAGACTGAATGAGAATATGTGAACCTAAAGGGATTTATTCGACATTTGGTAACGCTGATTTCTGACCGTCAGGCATTTGCTGAGCTCTGCATTTTAGTTTTTAAGTCCTCAAAGGTATCCTACAGTGTTATACAGGAAGTAAAAGAGTATAGTGCATCTCTAGAAAATACTGTAGTCTAGGCTTGGGGTTCACCTATAATAGGATGGTGAGTGGAAAGTGGAGATTGGGGATGCACCTTTAGATCAGGTGCAGGTGGCCTCTCCACTCTCCCCTAAAGCATCATCTCAGTCTGCAGAAGACCAAACAAGATCTACTTTGATAGTTAGCAGATAGGACCTCCACTTAGAAATGAAGAAAGTGGTTCAGAGAAAGTGACTTGATTAAGCTCCTACTGAGCTTAGCTATGAATCAGGAGTAGGCTTAAGCATTAGAGAGGTATCCTATAGCAACCCTTTAGAGAATGGGTTGGACTATTGGTGAAAGAATGTGGGTCCAGAAATTTTATTTCCAGCATTGAGACCAGTCCTTTGGGTTGTTACCATTTTGCTCATCGCTTCTCCCTCTATGTATGCTCCTCAGGACAGGGATGAGCGTCTCCCCACCCCCTGTTGTATACCAGCACCTAGGGCAGCACTCGGCACACTGGCTCGATGAATGTTGAATTAGTTGTAGAAATGCATATTAGAGTTCTGATCCAATTGCCTAATTTTAAGCTAAACTAGAGAACTATGATGTGCAGGAAATGATTAAAGCATGAATAGAAAGACACCAACATCTTATCCTCCCTCCCCAAATTCTCACCTTTTCCCCAAGAAGCATAAATATTAGAACTAGACAGGACAAGATCATGTGTGAATCAGGACAAGATCATGTGTGAATAAAGGGGAACAAGGGTGTTGAACGTTTGAAGAGTGAAGTATATCATTCGTATCAAGTCAGGCCTGAGTTTGCCAGCCAAGTTAGTTTGTGAGAGAGCAAAGCTAAACCAACTAACATCTGAATTTGTAAGTTTGAGTTCTAAATTTGGGTACAAGTTTTCCTATCCTTCACATTCAGTACCTCCACATGACTATTCTTGAAGCTGCTATCTACAAAATCACTACCATTTCCCCATCCAGCAGAAATATTCCTAAAATATGTAACAATATAACTGGATTACAACACCTGTAACGGGCCGTGGTTGTGGTTCTTCTGAAAAATGAGTTGTCCAACGTGGCTGAAAAATCAGTGGTCTGACATGGTCAACAGTTACACTGAACGTGCAGTGGAAAAGCATGGGCTTTGCAGCAAGATCAATCTGGGCTCAAGTGGTGACTTTGTCACATACTAACTAGGCAAGTGACCTTGATTAAGTCACCTCTCTGAATCTTTCCTCAGCTGTATAATGGGGAATAATATTACACGCCTCACTGGGCTACAGTGAGGATTAAATTAGATAATGTAGCTTACGAAAAGCAACACAGTTAAGTAGTGTAGAGCAGGCGCTGGGATGAGTGGATCTCCTTAGAAACGGGTATATCCCAGTCAGGTGCACTGCTCTGGGGATACACAGAGGGTGAAGACAAAGGGGCCGGGCTGCTTTTTAGTTGCAGGAGATGGGTCACAAGTGTGGGTTTGGTGTGTCTGGATCATTGGTTAGGCCTGCTAACCCAACAATCTGCATTTTCTCGGCTAACAAGATGTTTTCATGCGAATGCATGTATATCTGTGTAATGAGGTCGTGTCCTCTTAAAGGCTCTTTCTAGCTCAGACATCTATGATTGCGCCAGGCCTAACTAGCCTCTGAGGGGTGCTTTACACATGCTGTTTCTTTAATGAGTGAGCCTCCGGATAACCCAAAGAAACAATGAATTCGTTAGCAATATGTCAGATGCTTTCCAGTCATTTATTTTTCGCTAGTTCTAATATTTATGCTTCTTGGGGAAAAGGTGAGAATTTGGGGAGGGAGGATAAGGCACCAAATACCTTGGTTTCCAGAAGCGAGCCAAATTTTCTTCCCTGAAGAGGCTTAAGGAAGTAATCCAACTCCGGTTCTGAGACAATCCAATCCGCAGTTTTCGCCTGGCTTTGGCTCCTCGCCGGGCTCACTCCCCGCGCAGGAGAGACATTGGCCAGCCCTACGCGAGGCCGGCGAGAGTCCACCGTCTCCCAGGAGGGCGGGACCGAAGCTCAGGAGCTGGGAGCAGAGGGCAAGAAGTCTGGGGTTCGCGCGTGCAGGGGTGGGCGCCGCGGGACTACAACTCCCGGCATGCCCTGCGGCTTGCGCCGAATGCGGTTGGCTGGGAACTCCAGCCTCGCTGCCTTCGCTGGCCAATGGGACGCAGGAGAGAGACCTGACCCGGATTCTCAGGGACCAATGGCCGTACAGGGGAGGCGGGGGCTTCCTTCCCACTCACCTTGCGCTCGGAAAAAACCACATTTAAAAGGTCGTGCGGGGCCAAGTTCCGGCGGGCAGAGAGACCAGAGGCAGAGGGCGCGGCGGCGTCCCCGAGAGCGGCGCCGGGAGGGCCCGGGTCCCCGCGAGGCGCGCGCCGGACGTCGCCGGGGGCGGGGTCAGGGGCGGGGCCTGGCCTCGTTGTGGAGCGGCTCCTAATCCATCATGGCGGCCGCGGGGGTCGGTGTCGGTCCCTGAGCGGCGCTGGAGCCGGAGCCGGTTCCCGGGTCCTGCGGCTGAGGAGCCCCTCCACTGTCCACGGCCCCCACCTGCGGGGGGAGGCTGGGTCTCGCGGCGGAGCTCCGGGGATGTGACTGCCTGGCGGCGGCGGCTGTAACAACGTCCGGAGCCGGGGGAGAGGTTGTCTCGGGCAGAGACCCCTGGGCTCGGGGCAGCCGAGGCGGCCGGGCCTCCTCCCCTCTCCGCCCGCCTCCCGCCTTCCCGGGCCGCGAGGGTCCTTCGTCCCGTGCAGCCCTGCCCCGGCTCTGGGACACTGGGGGTGGTCTCTGTGTCCCCCAGACCTGGGACACCCCGTTTCCTGAGGCGTGGAGGAGCGACGCCCCCGAGTAAGCCGCCCGTGCCCCGCCCCGGCAGCCTCCCCCGTACCCCCCGGTCCGCCCCTCGCTCCCTCTCCCGGCCTCCAGTTTGGCCGCGGAGCCCCCCCATTCATATTGCCTCCCTGCTGTCAAGTGGCCTCCCCTTTCCCCCAGGTTGCTCCCGAGAGCCTCCAATGCCCTGACTTCTTCCAATGTCACCGACGGTCCCCTTAGTCTCAGCCCAAACAAAAACTTTAATGCAAAGGAAAAGTCTGGACTGGTTTCACAGGCCTTTTAAAAAGCGGACTGAAAAGTTGCTGGCAGTGCATTCCTTCTCGTCAGAGCCGAGGGCAAGCTCTCGCTGAAGTCTGGGTGACCCGTGTCCTTTTCCGGAGCGCACGGTAGAGAAGCCGGAGCGGCAGCTAGTTGGGCAGGAAATTTGTCGGAAGATGAAGAAACTAAGGGGGTGGGTGACTTCCACAGGAAAAGTTCCGGAGAAGCATCCAGAGACGATCGACATTTCCTTTATGTTGTGGGAACCGAAACGACTGTAGTGTTACTGACCCTTTGACAGCATCCCTGTGAATGTTTGTTTTTCTTCTTGAAAAGACAGAAACCTACTCAGCCAGTAAAAGACACTTAAACTCAAGAAGCTTTTGGGTAGCACTGCAATTACATTACTTCAAACTGATAAACTGCAGAAGTAATCGGAACTCCTGTTTACACATGTCAACCTAAAAACTGCTTCCTTTTTTTACGGAAGATGTCTTTTTGTGATTGACCTCAATTACTGACTTGTGGAGATTCGGTGAATGTGAAATCCCAAATAGATACTGTTTCTTTTTAAGCCCACTGACCATTCTGGAAGATCTTGAACCCTTTTCTGGAAAGGGGTGCCTATTATTACTTTATGGGGCAGCAGCCTGGAAAAGTTCTTGGGGACCAGAGAAGGCCAAGTTTGCCTGCCCTGCACTTTATCAAAGGAGCAGGGAAGAAGGAATCATCGAGGCATGGGGGTCCACACTGCAATGTTTTTGTGGAACATGGTGAGTGCTGTTCAAGCTTTCTGGTCCTGTTTTTCCTCATGTATCAGCTTAGGGATGCCTAAGGGACTTTTGAACAACAGCGTTTGTGTCCAGCTGTACTTAAAACTTGTGTTACTATAGTTTTCTCTTCGTTTGTGGTGGAACTTTCTTTGTATAAGAAGAAGTTACTTGGGGACTCTGGATGGCTTTATTCAAAATCTCTTTGAGTTGTTTATTTCTTGCCTAATTCCCCTTCTAACTCACTGTTGACCTTAGATAAGCCATTTTACTCTTCCAGTTTCCTGAGGAGATTGGACTTAAGTGGTTTCTCAGGATCAGAGTCCATGATCCTGCTCTAAACCTTAGGCTTGGGCTATACCCGAGGTACATGGATCCTTTACTGCTTTATCCACAGGGAGCTTTTATCGTATCCTCAAGAGTGCTTGTGTTGCCCAAAAGGTTAAGAACCACAGATCCTAGTTGACACTAATATCCTCGACCTTTTCAGTCATA